TTGTGTATTTAGCTCAAATCTGCCGAGAATGACCTTCAGCTCTGCTTCGGTAGTCACCGGTTATTAAGCCCACGGTTAATAAGCCCAGCCGCTTATTAAGCCCAATTTGGTCAGGGCCCGAGGTGGGCTTAATAACCGGCGACTACTGTATCGATTTTTTTGCGCAACGCGAGATAGGCTTCAGGAAGATCGATATGCCTGTTAATTGAATTCGCGTGTGACTATTCAAAACATTTACTAATTTATAATATTTTAAATCTCACGCTGGCATTTTTAATCTTCAACAAGCTAATGGTGTAAACTCAGTTTATGACGCCTGTCCTAAAACAGCTGTAATTGTTATCTATCCTACCCGCATTACAATTATTCCCCTGCTGCAAGAGATCATGCTTACCATTTTCTTAGTTGGACCTTTTACTCGATTTCCAGCACAGATTCAAATAATGATAAGGTAATTATTCCAATTAACTTGCAATCATTAGTTACGCATATTTGGAAAATACGTGAAAGAATTCGATACCCTGCAGTCAGTAGAACAGAACTGTGTCCGAAACAGGGGGCATCTTCTGAAGTAGTACCTGGCCCTCATTGCGCTTGCTGTACGCCAGTCTGCAGATAAGTTTGACCAACACGAAGAGCCAGATTAGGGTAAGACCCGCGTTAACCGAGCTGTGCATTCTACGCGTCGCATAACGACTGTCAGTAATTGTGGGGGGGAGTGTGTTTCGTCCCATCCAGGCGCCTGCTTTACCTAGGCGATACAAATAGGTTCAATTCCACCATCAGGTGTATGAACAACTCGGACAGCGGACCGGGAGAACATGGGAGAGGGAACAGCCAGTGGAGTTAGTACTGCGGAATCTAGTCCCACGGCACCTCAGCACAATACTTATCAGAGAAGAAATCTAGAGAACCTAAATCTATCACGAGTCACTAAAAGTCATGGCTTCGAAAGTTGGTCAGGATACAGTTCAGCATACTGTGGTAACAATTACATAAACACCTTGAAGAAAGTAGAGCAAGTTCCCTTGTTTGTGAGAACGTGGTACCAGTCTATGTGATCGCATCGTGCCTGGCACGCATAGACAGGCTGTTTCGCCCGATTAGCCACTGAGCCCGAGCCCGGCTGGATCGCTTTTGCTTCCAGACCCCGGAGAGCGAGAGGTGAACGAGTTATGCAAATGTTGCACAAGTTTGTTATCACTGTAAACTACTTCACGAGGTAGTAACCACTCTGTGTCCACTTCATCACGAGATACACTTTAAAATTAAAACCCCTTGAGATTTCGGAGCCCCCAGAAATTTGCACGCTTTTCATTACTCCCTAGTTGATGATTTGTA